GTTGCTACATGAGAACTAAGTTCCTGTTTTCAGCTTGCATATAACCGTAACAGCGAGTAACTGGGAATATCTGGCTGGCTGGATGTGAAAAACTATGAGGTCTTACAGAAAGAGTATGATTCTTACAGAAGGTCCAAATTTAGAAACTGAAGCATTTTTCTATACTTAAGCTTGCAGAGAGTAGGTGGGTCCTAACCAGGTGCCGAATATTATCGCCCCCCACAGCAAAACATGTTTGCTTGGTGAAATATGCTCAATGTGAATATCGTGTTGAGAATTTTCTCACGAGTCGTTCGTGTTTCAGGTTCATCTTTTTGGATGAGGTCTACTTCAGTCAATACTGTTCCTTTTTCTTCCTTACCTTTCCCAAATCTGCATAATAGTTGTAATTTGTTTTAACTTCAGTGTCCTGTTACAAAACTCTCACTCTCTCTCCCTGCCATCTCCATTACTACATTTAGCAAATCCGAAGAAATGGTTTAATTAGGTGAGCTACATAATCTAGCCGTTCACAGACTTTCTGGGCACATGTTGGGCCCGAAGGTTATATTAGTTACGGGCCCGTTGTAAAGAATCTGGGCCCATGCCACAAGTCTGTCAATTTCCATGTTCATCTTTGGGTATAATATGGCATTTGAAATTTTTTTCTGGCATATGACAATAGAAAATTGGTTCATAATGTTTTGTGGAATAGACACATGTTAACATATCAACCAACAGAAATGGCAGGAGATTAACATATATCATACACGGTAGATATAGTACTGATGGAGATGGTATTTAAAGGTAACGAGATATTGATAGGTGGATCGTGGGCATTTTCGGGAATAATGATCCGTGGCTTTGAGAATTGGAAGGATAAAAAATTAGTGGAGAGAACTCCAAATTTTTAGGAATTTTCAGGAAATTTATGTGATCGTCCTTCAAACAAACAGATTTATAGAGTATACTAATAATAATAATAATAATCCATAATTTCTTTGATATTGTGTGTCATCAACTAAATTTGAATACAAGAAATTTATAAGATAATCAAACAAGTTATAAGCTAGTTTATTTAGTTAACTAATATAGCCTAAATAATTCGTCTTATGGGTTCAAAATCTTGAGGCACATTGATGCATATATACATATTGTTTACATTAAATAAATTATGTCCTAAAAGTAATAGTAGTAGTAGCACTTCTTTCTCTTGATTATTGTAAGTGGTGGTATTAAATTGAAGCAAATTGTTGACTATTATTAAATATTATCAAAGCAATCAATAAGTAAATTATTTCTTATAAATGTTAACAAATAGCAGTAGTCATACCTGGAGCCCACGTCATTGAAAATTATAACACTCAGCCAATAACCAAAATAACTAAATAAGTACGCAACTTCAAGTGTGCATGTTAATCGAGGATTGTTTTTTCAAACCATTTTTTTGTCAAAAAGTTCTAGATGTTAAACTTATATAATAAATAAATGAAATCTCACATATTGCCAGAAATATTTTAATAATCTCAACTACATGTATTTTAAATATCTCAAAGTTTGAGATTGAGATTTCCATAAATCGGACAATGTATGAATTAATGTAATATATAAATCTATAATACAACTTGAGAAAAAAAAAGAAGAAGGATTTTTATATATATAAAAAAAAGGGACATTAACATGTGGTCACGATTTAGGATTGTACTGTACGGCACAAACACTGTGCACGTGCGCGCTACAAACTGCTGAACGTAGCTATGGTTTTTAAACAAAACGATGGAAAATCAGTTGCATAATAATGAGCTTGCTGGTTTTGACTAATTTTTGTACAATAAAAAATTAAGTTTATGTATAGATTATTGAAATTAATCATTTAATTATTATTAAAAAATTGAGTATGCAAAGATGAATGGTGTATGTGTAACTCACATTGAAAAAATATAGAGATGCAACAACAGTTAAAATTATAGATTAAAGTTCAACTTGAGTATATTAGTATATTATGTTGCGGGTGCGTTGCGACTTCTAAAAATCGTATTTGTGATAAAAAAAAATAGATAAGTTTGGTAAAACTAGCTGATAGCTGATAAGCTAGCTGATAGTTTATTAGTAATTTTTAGCTTATAACTTATGACTTATAGCTGAAAAACTAGCTTATATGATAAAAGTGTTTGGTAAAATTAGCTGCTAAGCTAGCTGGAATAAAAAAATTCAACAAGCTTATTTGAAAAGCTACCTAAAGAAGTTTATCAAATAAGCTCGAGCTTTTTAAAAAAGCTCGTCCTACCAAACGAGGCTTATTTAAATACAGGGAGCTTATAAGCTAACCAAATAAGCTATAAGCTAGCTTATTTGTCTACCAAACATAGCCAAAGAAGTCCAACAATTAATGCGTTACATTGCACTCAACTTA